TTTTTTTTTACCCCAAAAGCAAGGTTCAGCTTTCAAAGAGACACATTCCACTTTGGGTATTTTGTTTTTTAACTTTTCAGACAAGACAGTAAAACTTGGTAAAACTAAATGAGCAGCTTCACTTAGCTAGAAAGTCAGAGAACATGCTGAGCCCAATAACTGATCAAGTTCCAATTTGTTCCTTCTGGTCTCAGCCACCCAAAAAAAAAAGGAAACGTGAAATGATGAAGTCAAGAGTGCCACTAGGCATACACAGAGTGTCTTTCCATCACTGCTAAATAAGCACAGCCAGCACCATGAATTACAGGCAGTGGTTTCCGAGAGCCAAAATAGTATGACTTCAAAACAAAGTGACTCTCAGAACCACTTGTTTTTACGAAACTGTGTACCAGCCTACCATTCGCAAGTCAGCTAGAAAATCTAGTTGTCTACCCAAATATTTCTGCCACTGCCAAGGCCGACCCTACCATTAGGTTCAGTGAGATGACCAAGTCAAGTGGGATAGTGGTTTCAGTGCCGGACTATGACCCTGGAGACCAGAGTTCGAATTCTTGCTTGGCCCTGGAAACCCAGTGTGTGACCTTGGGCAAGTCACACTCTCTCAGCCTCAGAGGATGGCCATGGCAACCCCCTTCTAAAGAAAACCTCATGATAGGCTCTCCTTAGGGTTGCCATAAGTCAGAAACAACTTGAAGGCACACAACACACACACACACACACACACACAAGCACATTTCTTACTTTGCATTGTATTTCTTACTAACAAGGAGAGAGAGAGAGAGAGGCTTCTGGGATTTCCTGCATCCTGTACCAAAGTAACTTGGCTGGCGCTGGGTGCTTTGCACTGTGACCGAGGAAGGGAGAGGAAGGACATCATTTTCTGCTGGGCCTCAGGCGGCAAAATGTCTTGGGCTGACCCTGACCGGCGCTACGACTTCTCTCCTCCTGTTTCCACTTGTTCTTTTAGATTGAAAATGTATGTTTTATTCCACACATGTACAAAATCCCATTCATTCCAGAAGGGATTGAAAAACCTCCTTTCAGACCAGACAGACCCGGCGACCTGTCTGTCTCCCAGACTCCACTTTGGTTTTCCAAAAAAGCCAGACGTTCCAGTTCTTGGCCCAGTTTTAAGCCGCTCGGATCCCCCCCAAAACCACCGTGGTCCGGGTCACCTCCTCATGGCCCTCCCTGGCCCACTCTTCCACAGGGGCCCTTTGTATTCCCTCCTTCATCCTCCATGGACCACTTTCTGGGCAAATCTTAGGGCAGACCTGGTCAACAAATAACCGACAAGAGCGGCAGTCAGTCCAGGGCCAAATCTGGACACCCAATTGCATCAGAGGTGTGTTTATATTTGTATAGGTATATCTGTGGCTAGCTAGCTGTCTTAATATAGACAGACAGACAGACAGACAGACAGATGACACAGATGAAAATTATCTCTGTGTGTCAGATAGATCGATCAACCTATATCTATTATCTCTGTGTGTCATCTATCATTTCTCTGTCATCTATTACCTATCTGTTATTTCTATGTGTCATCTATCTATCTATAACAGGGGTAGGCAACCTAAGGCCCGGGGGCCAGATGCGGCCCCCCCAAAGCCTTTGGACCGGCCCCAGGCTGGTCCTGTCGCCATCGCCGCCGCCCGCCCTGATGATATTGATTATTGTTGTTATTACTTGTACTTGGGGTTTTCTTGGCAAAATCTCCACAGGGGGTTTGCCATGGCTTTTCTGGGGCTGAGAGAGTGTGCATGCATATATTTTAAATTTTTAAAATATTTATTTGCTTGTTTGTTTGTTTGTTTGTTTGTTTGTTTTTGGTGCTTCGGGCCCCCAATGGTCTGAGGGACAGCAACCCGGCCCCCGGCTCAAAAAGGTTGCCTACCCCTGGTCTATAACCTCTCTCTGTGTCAACAGATAAATAGACACAGATAGATAGATCTCTCTGTCATCCATCTATCATCTATCTATCTATCTATCTATCTATCTATCTATTGTCTCTCTGTCAGCTGTCTATCATCTATATATTATCTCTGGGTGCTATCTATCTATCATCTCTATGTCATCTATCTATCTATCTGTCTGTCTGTCTATCTGTCTATCTGCCATCTCTGTCATCTATCTATCTGACACACAGGAAGAGATTGATAGAGAATCATCTCCGAGTGTCATCTGTCTATTTATCTAGTATCTACTGTATAATCTCCCTGTGCATTATCTATCTCTCATCTATCTATTATCTATCATCTATCTATTATCTCTGTGTGCCATCTATCTATGTATCTATCTATCTATCTATCTATCTATCTATCTATCTATCATCTATCTCTCTGTGTGCTATCATCTCTCTGCCATCTGCCTATTATCTATCCATCATCTATTTCTGTGTGCCATCTATCTATAATCTCTCTGTCATCTATTATCTCTGTGTGCCATCTATCTATCTATCCATCATCTCTCTGTCATCTATCTATTTGTGTGTCATCATCTATCTGTCTATCTATCTATCTATCTATCTATCTATCTATCTATCTATCTATCTATCTATCTGTCTGTCTATCTGCCATCTCTGTCATCTATCTATCTATCTGACACGCAGGAAGCGATTGATAGAGAATCGTCTCTCTGTGTATCACCTATCTAATCTATCGATCTATCGATCTATCTATCTGACACACACACAGGAGAGACAGAGAGGAGCCAGTGTGGCCTAGTGGTTTGAGTGTCTGACTATGACCCTGGAGACCAGGCTTTGATTCCCCGCTTGGCCATGAAACACACACACCCCTCCCCGGGTGACCTTGGGCGAGTCACACTCTCTCAGCCTCCTCTGAGCAAACCCTGCCCAGGATCAGTTGGCCTGGGGAGGGGAGGGGAGGGGAGGGGCTTCCAGGGCCCCCCTTCCTCCTGCCGCGTTTCTTGCGGCTCCCCTTCCGCGGGAGATCAAAGGCGGGAGGGAGTCTTGGCTCGCGTCCCGCCAATGGCCTGCGTCCGGATCTGCGGGGGCGTCCCGGTCTCCCTGCCTGCCCAGCCGGCGGCCGAAGGGAAAGGAAAGGAAGGAAGGCTCCGCGGCTGAGTCACTCGCTCGCTGGCGAGGAAGGAAGGAAGGAAGGAAGGAAGGAGCTTCGCCTCGCTTCGCCTCGCTCGAAGGAGAAGGAGAAGGAGAAGGAGAAGCCCAAGCCCGAGATGCTGCCGCTGCTGCTCGCCTCCCTCCTGGCCGGCCTCCTGGGGCTCTTGGCCTCCTCGGCGCTCCCCATCGCCTGCGCAGAACCCCCGCCAGGTAAACGGGGGACGGGACGGGACGGGACGGGGAGAACTACAACTCCCAGGCTCGGAGGAGGTAGACTATAAGTCTAGGAAAGCTCCTGCTGCCCGCTTTCTTTCTTTCTTTCTTTCTTTCTTTCATTTAGTTTCAAAGGGGCAACAAGGTCGCCTGGATTATTTGTTGAACTACAACTCCCAGGCTCGGAGGAGGGGTAGACTATAAATCTAGGAAGGCTGCTGCTGCCCGCTTTCTTTCTTTCATTTAGTTTCAAAAGTGCAACAAGGTCTCCTGGATTATTTGTTGAACTACAGATCCCAGGCTCTGAGGAGGTAGATTCTTAAGTCTAGGAAAGCTCCTGCTGCCCACTTCTTTCTTTCCTTTAGTCTCAAAGGGGCTACAAGATTTCTCTACTCCTAGATTCTTTGTGGCACTACAACTCCCAGACTCTGAGGAAGTAGACTCTTAAGTGTAGGAAAGCGCACGCTGCCCGCTTCTTTCTTTCATTTAGTTTCGAAGGGGCTACAAGGTCTCCTAGGTTCTTTGTTGAACTACAACTCCCAGAATCTGAGGAGGTAGATTTAAGTCTAGAAAATCTCCTGCTGCCCGCTTTCTTTCTTTCATTTAGTTCCAAAGGGGCTACACGCTCTCCTAGGTTCTTTGTTGAACTACAACTCCCAGAATCTTGGGACCTTAATGTCAGGTGGACGGCCAGCGTGGGGTAGAGGCTTGAGTGCTGGGCTAGGACTGAGGACCAGAGTTCGAATCCTGGCCCGGCCATATATACCCATTGGGTGACCTTGGGCAAGTCACACTCTCTCAGCCTCCTCTGAACAAATCTTGCCCAGAAAACCCCAGGAGAGGGTCGCCATAAGTCGGAAACGACTTGAAGGCATACTACTACTACTATACAACAAATGACAGGTGAAAGTAGCAAGCCAAAACATCGTCCCCTTCCCTTGCTTCAAGCGCTGGAGGACTGATACTGGGAGTTGCGGATACTGGGAGTTAAAGTCCCCAAAGCCCCCCTTTCCCACAAAGGTTACGGATACTGGGAGTTGCAGTTCCCAACATCTCCTTCCCTTTCCTACAAACATTGCGGATACTGAGAGTTGAAGTCCCCAAAGCCCCCCTTTCTGCAAGCGCTGGACGGCGGATACTGGGACTTGCAGTCCGGAAAGCTCCTCTTTCCCCAAGTGCTAAGTGGGGGTAGATTCTTTTAAGGCGGGTTCTGGAATTTGCAGTCCAAAGAATCCCGTTTCCCCAAGCGCTAGAGGGTGGAGCCTGGGAGTTGTAGTCCAACAAAGCCCCCTTGGTGCCCCCAAACGCTGGCCATGGACCGAGGAGGAGCCAAGCGAGGGGCGCTTTCTTTCCCTCTTGGCTTTGGGAAAAGGCTGCACCTGTTGAACCTCCGCTGGAATCTCAGGAAAGAAAGAAAAAGGAGGGGAAGAATGAATGGGAAAGAGGCAGAAAGGAGGAGGCGAGCATTGAATGGATAGATGGACGAGGGTTTATTGAGTGGGAGGATGGAAAGGCAAGGCAAGCCCCAGAGAATAAGAAAGAACCAAGTCCAGTCCAAGAGAAGGCATCTATTATTATCATCTTTAAACCGGATTGACTTCCAATGCCAACTTTCGAGTTACACCGAAGGTTGCCAACTGATGGCCTGCCTGTACTTTAAAGCAGGGGTGCTGGCTGGGCTATACAAATGGGTATAAAGTCCTAGAGTACAGCAGACAAGGCCCTAAAGGCCCAGATCCGGCCTGAACATGGCTGCTAAGCAGGGTCAGCCCTGGTTAGTACCTGGATGGGAGACCGACAACGAAGGCCATGTCATTTGTTTTAATTTAACTCTGTTTTAATGTTCCTTTTGGTATGCTTTTCATGGTACTGTGTTGTTGTTGTTGTTTAAATCTTCTAAGCCGCCCTGAGTCCCAGTTTTGGGGAAAGGGAGAGATACTGTATAAATAAAGATAAAATCAAATATACAGTATTTAGGCTATCTTTCAGTGGGAAGAGCTGGCAAAGCCATTTTAGGGTATTCCTGGCCTAAGAAAACTCTATGGAATTAATAGGGTCGCCATAAATCGACAAACCCAGACACACATACAAAGTTTTGGGATAGGATTGTCTTGCCCTGGGTTCCTAGGAAGAACTTCAACAGGTGCAGCTTTCATGATCAGTGCTCCATAGGGACGGAAAGAGGGCTTGATAATTTGCGTATGGGCAAATTATCGATTCAATCAATCAATTAATTCATTAACCACAGATTGATTGATTGAGAGACAGCTTGGTGTAGTGGTTTGAGCATTGGACCAGGATCTTGGAAACTCTCTAATATCCCAGCTTGGTCATGGAAACCAGTGATCGCTGGGCAAGTCATACTCTCTCAGCCTCAATGGATGGCAATGAACAAAACTTGCCAAGAAAACGCCAGGATATAGGTTCGGAAACGACTTGAAGGCACATGACAACAACAGCAACAACAACAAACAACTAACTAAATAAATAAATAGCAGCAATCAATCACAGATTAACTCCCTTTTGGAAAAGGCATAGGCAGGGGTGACATTTTCTCAGCGCAAGAGGAATGCTAAAAGAAAAGGGAAAAAAGATCGGCCTGGTGGGCGTTTTGCACTCTGCACATGCCCAGAGGCGCTTCCTTCCTGAGATGACTTCTGAAGCCTCGAGGAATCAATCGCTGGTGATGTCATCAGTTGGAATTTTTACCGGGAACGCGAGGCCACGCCCCCGGGCCATGCTGCTTCCTCATTGGCTGCCTCGGAGAATGTGTGTGGGCGGGGGGGGAGGGAGGAGAGTGAAGGCTTTCTTATTCTTGTAATTGAGAAAAATGTTTGGAGTTTAAGGGAGCTCAGCACGAGGAGGAGGAGGAGGAGGAGGTGGTGGCGTGTTCGAATCATGCGACCCAAGGGTGACTCACCGCCCCACCTTCCTCGCTCCAGTTCCCTGGGCTCGGTGCCATCTGTTTGCTGCTGGCAGGGGGGCATATTTTATCAATGAAGTCACTTGAAAGGGGAGGGAAAGAGGGAGGCCTCCTCTTCAGAGCTCAGAAAATGCCTTTGGGTGGATTGCAACTCCCAGAATCCCTAGCCAGAATGGCCAATGGTGTGGAACTGCCTTTGGGTGGACTGCAATTCCCAGCACTCCCAGCCAGCATGGCCAATGGTGAGTGTTAGGAACTGCCTTTGGGTGGACTACAATTCCCAGCACTCCCAGCCAGCGTGGCCAACACTGTGCATGGGAAGTGCCTTTGGGTGGATTGCAACTCCCAGCCAGCGTGGCCAATGGTGTGTGTGGAGAGAGGAAGAAGAGTTGAGGAAGTGCCTCAGGGTGGACTATGATGCCCAGAATCCCCAGCCAGCATGGCCAGTGTCAAAGGGGGTGATGAAGAAGAGTTGAGGAAGTGCCTTTGGATGGGCTACAGCTCCCAGAATCCCCAGTCAGCCTGGCCAACTGTGGAGGGGGGGAGGTGAAGAGGAGCCAAGGAAGTGCCTTTGGGTGCACTACAACTCCCAGAATCCTCAGCCAGCATGGCCAAGGGTGTGGGGGAGAGGTGAAGAATCACTGCAGAAGTGTTGGCCATGCTGGCTGCAGATTCTGGGAGTTGTAGTCCACCAACAGAAACTTCCTCAGTTCTTCTTCACCAGCCCCCCTCCCACAAACACACCAGCCTGGATCTTGCTATTTAATGCTCCTGACCCCTTTCTGCTGGCTGGGGATTCTGGGAGTTGTAGTCCAACAATAGGATCGTTTTCTGAGTTCTTCTTCACCACTCACACATGCGCGCACACACGCGCACACACACACACACCAGCCTGGATCTGGGCATTTGGTGACCCCTGCTTCTGCTGGCTGGGGATTCTGGGAGTTGTAGTCCACCGAAAGGAATGTTTGCTGAGCTCGTCTTCACCTACTCTGCCTCCCCAGCCCAGATCTGGCCATTTGATGCCCCTCAGAGCTGACCCCTTCCTGCCCTCCTCCTGCTGCTGCTTGGGTCTGGTTCAGGTTTCGGGGTGAAACACGACCCCCTCCTGAGTGACGTGACCCCTCTAGAAATAGCCCCGAGTGTCATGTCATGGGGGGGGAGACGTGTGTGGGCTACGTGTGAGGGGCTCACAGTTGTGGGCCTTCTCTCTCTTATCCCCTGCCCCACCTTTGTTCGGCTCTTAATCCGCTGGCTGTTCCAACTTGATGTTTGTTTACTCCTTTTATTCGTTTCATTCATTCATTCATTCATTCATTCATTCATTGCACTTCTTCCTGACCTTGTTTCTTGCCTTCCTGGTCATTTCACTGCTGGATTTTCCCCAGACCAGATGTTGTTGTTGTCGTCGTTGTGGTGTACCTTCAAGTTGTTTCCGACTTACGGCAACCCTAAGGCAAACCTATCCTGGGGTTTTCTTGGCAAGACTTGTTCAAAGGTCATTGCCTTCCTCTAAGGCTGAGAGAGTGTGACTCGTCCATGGTCATCCAGTGGGTTTCATAGCTGGGATGGGAATTGGACCCTGGTCTCCAGAGTCATAGGATGTAAAAACCTGTTTCGGGAAAGGCCTTGCTTCCATGAAAATATGCTTAGAGGATCATAGCAGGATCTTGTTCACAATATACTCACTGGTTATTCTTTGGACTACCTCACAGGGTTGTTGTGAGGATAAAGAAGGGGGAGAAAGGGAATGGTGAATGGTGTGAACTCATTGCAGGAAAAACAGGATATAAACAGAAGTAATAACTCACCCATCCCCAAATGCAACTGTTTAGGGTATTGCTGTTTGTTGTTGCAATTGTGTGAATTATTTTCTTCTTTCCCATCAGCCACTCCATGCCCCGAAGGACAATCCTGGAGTCTGGATTTGGATAAATGTATGGATTGCTCTGTGTGCCGACTCCAGAACAAGAATGACTTCTGCTCTTCATGTGAGTGCCTGCCATCAAACCTAAACCATCATACACTGGAGAGTGGCCTAGGACTTGGGCTGCATCCACATTGCAAAAATAATCCGGTTGGACACCACTTTAATTGCCGTGGCCCCATGTTATGGAATTCTGGGAACTGTAGTTTGTTGAGACATTAGAAAACTTCTGTTTCTTCCAAACTGGAGCATGGCTAATAGCAATGATCCCCAAACTTTGATTCCCGCAGGTGTTTTAGGACTTCAGTGCCCAGAGGCCCCAGCCAGTTTGGCCAGCAGTCGGGAATTCTGGGAGCTGAAGTCCAAAACATCTGGAGAACCAGAGTCTTGGAACTACTGCAGTCCAACAAGGCCATGAAACCCACATCACCCTCCATTTGTTCATTTATCAATTTAATGCCATTGATTCTATACAGGTATTTTATCTACTGAGTAATGGTTTGTATGTTGGGCTGCGACTCTAGAGACCAGGATTCAATTCCTGGTTTGACCATGAAACCCACTGGGTGACCTTGGACAAGTCACACACTCTCAGCCTCAGGGCAAGACAATGCCAAACCTCCTCTGAACAAATCTGGCCAAGGAAACCCCATGATAGTTTGCCTTAGGGTCCCCATAAGTTGTAAATGACTTGAAGGCACACAACAACAACAACAACAACAACAACAACAAAACAACAAAAACAACAGCCTGGGGGTCCATGTGATACCCAATCCCAGCCCTCAAGTAGCCCTTGAAAAGCTTGCTGGACTGCAACATCCATCAGCCCTAGACAGCATATCTATTAGTAAGAGGAGTTGCTGTCCAGCCACAAGCTCCTCATATTGTTTGTCTTGGGTCATCCACAGAGTTTTATGGCTGAGAACAGATTTCAAATCAGGTCTTTAAAATCCAAATCTAATTTTATCATCTGTACGCCACGCTGGTTCTCAGGAGTTGCAGCACTGTGTGTGGGGTGGGTATGTACAGCTTGGATAAATTTGGCAAAGGAAGGACCAAATATTATGTGACGTACATCTCTGTTTAGAAATGGAATTTCTGAGTTATGGGTGATTTTCTCCTTTTTTTTTTGTTTCCGTTCATACGGATACACACCCAATTCATGACACGTGGGCTAAACCTTTGGACCAACGTGTCAGGTCCAAATGTTCAAAAGAAAACTATTGTTGGCATTTTCTTCCATTCGGTCTGTCCAAAAAATCAGAGCTGGAAACATTTGTAATAATTTTGTGTGTATGAGAGAGAGAGAGACTTAGGGGGGGTTGCAGACTGCCAGAACTAGTGCAAATTGAGTCCACTTTTAGGGTTAGGGTTAGGGAATCATGGGAACTGTAGTTTATTGTGGCACCCAGAGCTCTCTGACAGAGAAGGCTCAATGTCTCAGGAAAAAAAAAAAACACAATTCCCATGATTCCCTAGCACTAACCCTAACCCTAAAAGTGGACTCAATTTGCACTATTTCTGGCAGTCTGCAACCCCCCAGAGACAGAGGTCCAAAACACATCGCAGAAATAATCTAGTTTGAGACCACTTTAAAGGCCCTGGCTCAGTGCTAGGGAATCCTGGGAATTGTCGTTTATTGTGGCCCCAGAGCTCTCTGACAGAAAGGCTAAAGGCCTGACAAAACTACAGTTCCCAGAAGCCAGGGCCGTTAAGGCGGAGTCAAACTGGATTATTTCTGTAGTGTGTTTTGGACTAGAAACAGAGAGACAGAGAGAATATATATAAAACTAAGGAAAGAGAAAAAGAGAGAGTGTGGTATAGTGGTTTGAGTCTTGAACTATAACTCTAGAGACCACGGTTTGATTCCCAGCTCAGCCATGAAACACATTAGGTGACCTTGGGAAAGTCACACACTCTCAGCCTCAGGGAAGGCAATGGCAAACCTCCCTTGAACAAATCTTGCACACAGAAAAAAAACATAATAGGGTTGCCTTAGGGTTGCCATAAGTTAGAAACAACTTGAAGGCACACAACAACAGAGTGTGTGTGTGTGTGAGTGGGTTTGCCATTGCCTTCTTCTGAGACAGAGAAAGGGTCATTTGGCCATGGTCACCCAGTGCGTTTCCATGACTTAGTGGGGATTTGAACCCTGATCTCCCAGAGTTCTTTCCCAATGCTCGACCCACTACATCAGGCTGGTTTTCAGAATATATTCCATTCTACTGGCGGATCACTTTGTTGTTCTTGTGGGAAGCAGTTTGGCAGGAAGCATAAGGTTTTTTGAGTAATGGATCTGGTGGAAGTCTGGTTCAGATTAAGAGACTGACTGGGCTGGCGGAGGAGGAGGAGGAGGAGGAGGAGGGTGGGTGAATTTGGGATGGGTTGTTGTTGTCTTTTGGAAGTTCATCTGAATTTAACCCATTCTTCTTCTCCTTCTTCTTCATTCTTCTTCTTACAGGTAAAGACCCCCAACCTCAAGATAAATTCTGGATTGTAGTGGGAGCAATTTCAGGGGCTGTGATTATGGTGTGTCTTGTCGCGGGCGTTGTAATCTATGTCCGCTGTCGGCGGCGAGAAAAATTCACCAGTAAGTGCTCCGTTTTCTGTATTTAAGTCCAGTGGGGATTCTGTTGCTGTGAACACTTCAGGAGCCAAGTTCCAGTCTCCTTCACAGTGAGCACATAAACATATATGAGTCCTGTTTTTAAAACTACATTCTTTTTTTTCTGTTGTTTCAGCCCCCATTGAGGAGACCGGAGGCCACTCCGCTCAGGAATCACTGATACACTGAAGGTGAGGATAGATGTTTCTGATGCTTTGTCCTGCCCTGCCTTTTCACTGAAAAGCAGTGTGGTGTAGTGGTTTGAATGTTGGACTAGCATACTGAGGGACCAGGGTTCGAATCCCCACTCAGCCATGGAAAAGTACTGGGTGACCTTGGGCATGTTGCTCTCTCTCAGCCTTAGAGGAAGACAAAAGCAAACCCCTCCCTGAACAAATTCTGCCAAGAAATTTCTGTGATAAATTTGCCTTATGGTTGCCATAAGTCAGAAATGACTTGAAAGCACGCAGCAGCAGCAGCAGCAGCAACAACAACAACAACAACCCTTTCACCTGCACTGGTTAGCCAAATAATTACACTGATGCATAATTGCATTGTAATATAATTGCAATACAATTTGCAATACAATTGCAATCAAATATTGCATAAAAGCATCTTTTGCTTTTTAAAAAGGAGCCAAGTTTCCAGCCCTCAAGAGTTGTTAGGAAAAGCTTTGTAACATTTCTATGCCTTTTTATGTGCCATTCCAGCACACACACAAATGGCTAGCCAGTTGCAGAAGATATATTGGCTTGAGCATTTAATTGCCATGACCCTGATTAAAGAAGATGTTTGTTTTTTCTTTTGACACAGGATATACTCAGTACAAAGAAACCTGAGGCTCAAATGGCCATTCCAGAGCCAATCCCCAGAGCAAATCTCATTGAAATCAATGGGATTTAAATCTGAGTAAACACACAGAGGCTTAGATTGTTGATCTTAGCCCCTGCTTCAAAACCTTGGCTATTACTTCTCAAACTCAACTTCTCAGTGTCCCTTTGACAGTCTAAAATGTATGCTTTCCTCATTTATGTTCACAACAACCCTGCGAGGCTGGTTAATCTGAAAGATAAGGACTGAGCCCAGATCAGGCTACTTACAGTTGCCCCTCCACATTTGCAGCTTTCACTTTTGCAGATTTGAGCATTCACAGATTTGATTAATATGTTCTCTCTAGGAATTTCTAGGTCCTCCAGTGTGACTCTGTTGTCAACTTCAGCCCAAAGTCACACTGGAGCACCTAGAGATTGCTAGAGAGAACACTTCTCTGGGCATTTGTAGGTCCTTCAGTGCATTTTTATGGTCAACGTCTGGCAGATTTTGATCACAGAATTGCCCTGGAGGACCGAGAGATTCCTAGAGAGGTGTTTTCTCCAGTAAAAAAAAATAGTGTTGTTGTTTTTTAATTGCAGTTTTTCCACTTTCACAAGGAGCCTGTGTCCCTAACCTCACCAAATGTGGAGGGTCCACTGTAATTTGCTGGATAGGAATTTATTGGCACTTTGGATTGTTTTTTCTGGGTTTTTCAGGCTGTGAGGCCATGTTCTAGAAGAATGTATTCCTGATCTTTCTCCTGCATCTGTGGCTGGCATCTTCAGATAATTTCTCTGAAGATGCCAGCCGCAGATGCAGGTCAAACAACAGGAATACCTTTTTTTAGAACATGGCCTCATAGCCCAAAAAACCCACAAAAAATATGGATGCCGGCCATGAAAGCCTTCGACTTCACATCAAACCGGATTATTTCTGCATTGTGTTTTGGACCCATGTCTTTGATCCTCTGTTTTCATGGTCCTTCTTTTTTCTCCCCCACCTTTTACAGATCTTTCCCTCGACATTTCAAATGAAGAGAGAAGAAATCGAACCTTTTATTACCTCCGACTTTTCCTGAAGATGCCAGGACGGCCTTTGCTTTTACCCTGGCCTTACACTCTTTTGCACGCACAAACATGAGAGAGTGACATGACGTGATGTGATGTTGAGGGCAACTGCTCCGGTGCCTTGTAAAAAAACATTTCAGGAAAAACCAAGCAAAAGTATTGGTGGACCCTTTTGTAAAGGCAGTCAACCTTCCTTCCTCTGGGAAGGAGCAAAAGGGGTATACTAAATCTTCCAGGGTCTAATGCCCCATATTGGGGTGATTGTTTTTCATAACTGGGATACAGCTGTGGGGAATCCTACAGCTCCCAAATCCTGGCCAGGAGGGCCACAGCAGCTGCTGTGACATTTCCCTCTGGGAAACATTTTAAAATAAAAATGAATGTGATTTATCTTAATGATTTGTCTATATATATAGAGAGAGAAATAGGGCTGCAAGGCTCTCCAGGGGCCCTTCCATGTTACACAACCATAGCACTATGTGCCAAAACACACTGCAAAATAATCCAATTTGACACCAATTTAACTGCCATGGCTCAATGCTAGAGGATTCTGGGAATTGTAATTTGTGATATATTTAGCTTTCTCTGTGAGAGATCTCTGGTGCCACAACAAACTACAATTCTACAATTCCCAAGATTCCCCAGCACTGAGCCAGGGCAGTTAAAGTGGTGCCAAACTGGATTATTTCTGCAATGTGTTTTGGACCTATGATTCCACTGGGTTCGGTCCTATGGGATTCTGGACCTAGAAGTTTAGGGAAGGGCATTTAGAACTCTCAGGCAGAAAGCCCTGATGTCTCATCAAACTACAGATCCCAGGATTCCATAGGATTCAGCCAGAGTAGTTCAAGTGGAATCATAGTGTTATCACTGTGTAATGTGACGGAGCCCCAGGAGAAAAGCAGAAATGAGCCACTTGTGCAGTTTTCTCTTTGCAGTGGCTGGGCCATTGTGTGAAAGGGGAAAAAGAAAGGTCACAAGTTTAGTAGGAACTTCTTCCCTCCTTGGTGCTCATGCAGAGGCCACTATTTATGTCTTCTGCTCTTAAAAAGAGAAGTTTTAATTATTTGGGTGTGTTTTTGAGGCATGCTTTTAAAAAAAAAAAACAGCATGATAATCATGAATTAGAGTTTGTGAGTTGAAATAAAATAAAGTTAATTCTTGATAAAACAAGAGGGTGTTCTGTCTTGATATGCAAATATTATAGAAGCTTTCATTCCATGGGTCAGTTCTACTCATGATATTAAACATACAGTGGCATCCTGTTGGTATATTACATGCAGATAGGTTCCCTTATGCTTCTGGTAGTATTTTTTTTTTTAACACATGCATAATTTCTATTTTCAGATGAAGGTTTAAAAAGCAATTATTCATCTGGTGCCCTTGCACATTGTGTGTCTTTGGTTATGCACCTTCATAGATATATTAACAAGGTGTCATAGCAGCAGAAAATTACAATACCTCTCTTTGGCATAAGATCTCAGCCAGAACTTGGAAAAATTACATTTTTGTGACCACCACTCCATATTGCATCCATGCTTGCTGGGGAACATGAGGAGATGTTGTTCAAAAGTGTTTGAATTAGCATTTCACAGAGATTGGCTCAGTAACTCTTACAACAACCTTGTAATGTTGGTCGGGATTATTCTGCAGATGGAAGGGTACAAGTGTGATTTGCCTGAGTTCCCATTTGACAGTAAAGCTTGGGCTGAATCCACACTATATACTGTAGTTATAGCAGTTTGATGCAACATTAACTGCCATAGCTCGATCCTATAGAATCTGCTACCAGTTTAATTCTATTTTAATAATTCACTTTTGGGTGTTTTTAAAAAAAATTAATTGTAAGCTACTTTGAGTTCCAACATTGGAAAAAATGGGATATAAATAAATATAATAATAATCTTTAAATTTGTACTTTGGTAAAGTGCTTAGAATTCTTTCTTTCTGCTAGATTGCTCTGTGTCTGTTTCTCTTGAAATGCATCTGAGGAAGTAGACTGAAGTCTACGAAAGCTCATGCTGCCAATTTCTTTCTTTCCGTTAGTCTCAAAGGTGCTACAAGATCTCTCTACATACTGATTCTACAGACTAACACGGTTGTGTCTTTGAATTCTACCTCAGGAAAGTTCTTCTAGTAGTGAGTACCTCACTAATCTGAGGATTATATGGGATAGTGCCATGGCAGTTTAAGTGGTATCACATTGCTATAGTTGTACGGTAGGGATATACCCTTGGCTTGGAAGAAAAAGGGAACCCAGATTTACTGGTAGAGCACATGCTTTGCATATAGAAAGTCCCAGGGTCACTGTTGGACACTGGTGAGAAAAGCCTCTGCTGCTGGTCCAAGAATACATGGATAAAAGTTCTGACACAGCAGAGTTTCCTTGTCTGCAGGCTTAGCCACTATGATACCTCAGCGGTCACTGATATGTGCTAATAATACAAAATTTCATTTACTCTCCATCTTTGTGCAAAAGGATCTTGTAGTCCCTTTGAGACTAACTGAAAAAAAAAGTTAGTAGCATGAACTTTCATAGATTTGCACTTACTTCCTCAAAATGTGCTACAAGATCCTTTTGCATACTGATTTTCCAGACTAACATGGCTATGTCATTGAATTCTATTTCCACTTTTGTGTAACTCTTGTACTTGCTTTTTACTCTGAGAAGCTTATACATTAGGATGGCAAAAGTATGATCATCAATCACTCATCTGTTCTAGGGTTCATGCCCTGGAATATATATATATATATATAAAGAAATACCAGGTGATGTAGGCTATATTTCAGAGGAAGAAACTGGCAAAACCTGAGTATCCCTTGCTTTAAGAAAACCCTATTAAAATTCATGGGGTCACTAGGTGACATTCCTGGAAGCTTCCAGAAATAGTGGGTTTGTATTTAAGAAAGGCATGTGGATGCCACAATCTCTCTGCTAAAAATCTCTCAGGAATAAAAAAATGAGGTGGACTTCCAGCCACCCATGAGGTGGATTTTTTAAAGCCACTGGGCCTCCAGAGTTGTCAGACCTTTCATACATAGTCCTCTCCTGGATGTCCAGAGTGTGAAAAATACACTTTTTGGACTACCCACTGACTAAGATGGGGAATTCTGGTAGCTGGAGTCGAAAAAGCTGCCCAAATCTCTGGATTGTCCTCCCATATTTTTTAAATTAGTCCATCACTAATTGCTACTCCTGGATCTTCCTGTGTTTGTACATCTGTGTTCTAAGATGTGGTTGTTTGTCAAAGGCCTTTTTAAAAAAAAAAATCTCACAAAATCAAAGATGTTCTGAACCCCCACAAATGAAACGTTGTGGGTTTTCATCCTGCCTGGAAACATTTCCTCCAACTCCAGATGTATGGAGGAGAATCGTAGAGTTGAAAGAGCCCATCAGGGCCATTCAATCCAACCCCTGCCATGCAGGAATACACA